GGTTATAGAAATACTGGGAAGCAGGTGGCAACTGTAACATGGCTATAGCAGCTGCTAGACTGGGGCTTCACTGTGTTGCTATTGGTCACGTTGGGGATGAGATTTATGGAGAGTTTCTTCTAGATGTGCTTCATGAGGAAGGGATAAGTACGGTTGCATTGGATGGAGAAGCAAATGCCAAAGATACCAGCTCATTCTGTGATACGCTTATTTGCTGGGTTCTTGTGGATCCTTTGCAGAGGCATGGCTTTTGCAGGTACTGCTTTTTTGCCACGCCTAGATTCTATGGGAATTGAGTATATAATTGAAAATGCCTTTAATGAAACTCGAAAAGATTTTATGGTAGTGGTGGTTTGTTTAGGATGGCATTTGTGAATGATATATAATGAGTGCATCATCCCAATGATGTACTGTGATTGTAATGGTGATGGGTATCTAGAATTAGAAGATTTCATTTAGGAGGGCTTTTTGGGAAATGAAAAGGTGCAGATTTTCCATCGGAAAGCTATATTATTCTGGCTGATAGTTTTTCTTAGTGCTATATATTTAGATAGATATGGCTTTCTTGTTTAGACATCTCGTTTCTCTCAGTGAGACAAACGCGACTTGGTGATATCTTCATACTTCCAATACTGTTTATTCCTTCAAGCTCCTTGTATCTACTACTAGAAGAACTTATGTCTTTTTTAATTTCTATTCTTATGTCTATGTGTGAAGCAAATTCTTGTTGGTGATATCGTCTTACTAACTTCAAATACTGTTTATACCTTTTAACTTCCTTAATTTCAATTACTAGAGAAACTTATGTATCTGATTGTTTCTCTTGTTTAGTCGGGCTGATTTCAAGGAGGAACCTGCTTTCAATTGGATAACTGATCTACCTGAAGATGTAAAGATGGCAATCCGACAGTCAAAAGTTCTTTTCTGCAATGGTTATGACTTTGACGATTTCAGCCCTAGTTTTATAATGTCAACAATAGATTATGCAACCAAAGTTGGGACAGCTGTCTTCTTTGATCCTGGACCACGGGGAAAGAGTCTTTCCAAGGGAACTCCTGATGAGCGTAAAGCACTTGCTCACTTCTTAAGAATGAGTGATGTTCTTCTTCTAACATCTGAGGAGGTACATTGCACTTGTCTCCATAAAGTAGAAAATCTATCTCTAGTTTGTTTTGTTTCTTCGTGTACACTATCTCTAGTTTATTTTGTCTTGTTTGGAAAAACTATGCTGATTAGTATTGGTAATCATTTAACCAATCAAATTAATAATTGCTCAGGCAGAGGCTCTAACTGGCATCAGGAACCCTGTAAAAGCAGGACAAGAAATTCTGAGGAATGGAAAGGGAACAAAATGGGTGATTGTAAAGATGGGCTCAAAAGGTTCAATCTTAGTGACGAAATCTAGTGTCTCGGTGGCACCTGCGTTTAAGGTACACCTGGTTACAGATCATTTAATCTTTCATTTTGGCATTCACATCTAGGTGCTGAAAATTGAACTTACATGTATTTATCGTAATGTTTGTGTAAAGATCTAAGTTTCTTTGCCAAAACACCATCATCAGGTGGAAGTGGTTGACACTGTTGGATGTGGAGACAGTTTTGTGGCTGCAATCGCATTGGGTTATATACGCAACATGCCGCTTGTTAATACCTTAACAATTGCGAATGCGGTTGGAGCAGCAACTGCAATGGGTTGTGGAGCAGGTAGAAGTGTTGCAAAAAGACATCAAGTGGTGGATCTCATTAAGGCCTCAAAACTCAATGATGAAGAAAACCTTATCGAAGAACTACTCGCCGAAAACCCGGAATCCCCTAGAATCAATTTTCTTTCAAAAGGGATGAGAAAGGAAGGGAGCAACAAGCAGCTGGTAGAAACAATCTCTATGGAAAAAGTGGTTTCTGAATTGCTTCCAGAGCTTGAACTTGGGAGGTGTTGTGTAAAGGCTTCATCTTGATTGATGCATTTGAAACAAACTCAATCTTCTGACACATATATTTCTTTGGCTGCGTGATTTGGAGAACCTTGCGCGATTTTGATTGCTCTCACAGGGATTTGCATAGAGATGTTGTAATGAAGATCTTATAAATTTGGGTTACGATGGACATTTGTTTCATCTGATTCTTATTCTGGAGTGAAGTGGATGAAGATAATTTGATTGGTTGGCAATTTTTGTTTTCTTTGGGAAGAACATCCTCAAAGCAAAGGAGATATGAAAGTGAAGCTCTGATTTTACAACAGTAATGATAATAGTTCACATATAGAGAGAGTCCCTTTTCGTTTCTCTTCTGTTTTTGTTTAAAGTCTGTTAAATGCGATTTTATGGTCGGTATTTTGTAGGAATTCGACTGTTACATATTCAGGAAAGCAGGTAAACAGAAAAAAATGCTATTATATGAAAGTTATGTGGGTATGAAAATCAGAGATTATGTGATATGTTGTTTGAGTTGTACACAATTAGGTGGTCTTAATTTGTTTCATGTCAATATATGAATTTAGCATACAAACTTTATAGAAATTGTTTTAGAGATTATTATTTATGTACTTTTTAACAAAAACCACATGATCACTTCTCTAAAATCTACATAGAGTTTTATCAGATTCCAACATCTCCAAAAGATAAATGTCATTGTATGATAAGACTCCAAATCATTTTTTTTTTTTGGTCACAAGACTCCAAATCATTAACACAATGAAATAAGGAAAAAAAAAAAAAATCTAATTATCTCATATTAATTGAATCGGCTAGTTTGGTAATTTGGTACCCATTTAAAACCAAAAAATTACCAGCATGGTGGGCATTTTAGTAACTCAGTTAATGGGCCAAAATCTCATCGAGTAAAGCAAATGTGAAATGACAGAAATACCCTTGAAACACCTAATAGAGTTTTAGCTTTTTGTTCCTCTGTATCAATCTCTCATCGTCTCTCCTCCACATTCTTCCCCTTAAAACAGTTAAACCCTACACTCATTCTTACCCGCCAAAGCCCTTCCCTTTGAATGTGGAAATTTCCCTTTGCTTCAATTGGGTTTCGCTGAATTCTGATTCTGCCTCAAAACTTTCTATTGTGAGTTTCCAATTCAGATCCATACATTGTTGCTTCTACGCAATTGGCTTCTGTTCTCTGTTCGTTTTTCCGAGAAACTTTGGTTATTGTTCGGAACTATTAATCAATTTGGGGTTTTTGTGTATTTTCTCTTGTCTGCGCTTGTTTGCATGATCAATTTGGTGATTTTTCGAACTGGGTCTGGAGTGTGTGATTGTTTACCTTTCGGCTAAAACGTTAGAACACAAAAGTGTTGTGAATATAAAACTTTGTTAGATCTTAAGGGTTCACTTTTCCTAAAAGTTTCGTATTTTATACTTTTTATGATCATATGACACATTTTTTTGGACTACACCATCTGCTGAGTCATGCTCTAAGTTATTTGGTTCTGGGAAATTCTGCTTGTGCTTGTAGATTAATCATTTTTTGATGATGTTTCTCTCTCTTCATACATTGATAGGTAAAGGACAAAGCAAGTGATTCAGAATCTTCTGCAAAATCTGATTAGATTCTGCGGTTTTTCGCAGCCACGAGTTTTTGTTTTTGTTATTGAAATGGCAAACGACGAGCTGGTGAAGCCTGAGAACCGTGATTTCTCAGTTAGACAGGATCATTTTACGGGAATTCGACACAACTACGAACTGTTTCCTAGTCTTGACTACAACTCCTCATTCGAACAGCTACTTGATGTCAACCTCCAGATTGGTGTTTCGTATGAGGAAAATGAGGTTTGGAACCATTTCCAGGAACACAAAGTAATAGCTCTTGAAGACTCGAGGATTCATAACGATGAAACGAAAGAAGGGCGAGGTTTAGATGGAAACCAAAATGATAACTATCTCTCGTTTCCTGAAAATGATGACTCTGGAACTTCTGAGATTGATAAAGCAATTGTAGGTGGAGTCACGGGAGCAATCCAGAAGCAAGAATCTCAAGAGATCGATGATAACTTAGAGTTGGGGATGAGTCATAGCATGGACTTTTCTCGGCAACCAGACATGGCTCCTCCTAGCCCTCAATGCTGGTCTGTGCCACTGCCCGGGGTAGTCCCTGAGAGTGGAATGGCCGTTGGTATGGAATTTTCTGATGTCAAGGCTTGTAGAAGAGCATTGAGAGATGCAGCAATTTCTCTACGTTTTGAGATGCAAACCATTAAATCTGACAAGACTCGCTTCACTGCAAAGTGCATGGCCCAGGGTTGCCCATGGAGGATTCACTGCGCTAAAGTTCCTGATGCGCCAACTTTTACAATAAGGACTATTCACGGGAGTCACACTTGTGGTGGGGTTTCACATCTTGGTCATCAACAAGCTTCGGTTCAGTGGGTTGCTGAAGCTGTGGCAGAAAAGATTAAAGAAAATCCATATTTCAAACCAAAGCAGATACTAGAAGAAATTCATCGAGTTCATGGAATTGCACTGTCTTACAAGCAAGCATGGAGAGGAAAAGAGCGTCTAATGGCTACTTTCCATGGGGCATTTGAAGAAGAATATCGCCTTCTTCCCCAATACTGTGATGAAATCAGAAGAACCAATCCCGGGAGCATTGCTGTGGTTCATGCAAATCCGATCGATGAGAGCTTTCAACAATTGTTTATTTCTTTCCAAGCATCAATCTCTGGTTTTTTAAATGCTTGCCGGCCTCTTATTGCACTGGACAAGACTTTTTTAAAGAGCAAATATCCGGGGACATTGCTGCTTGCCACTGGATTTGATGGAGATGGAGCTGTATTTCCTTTGGCATTCGCGATTGTTAATGAAGAAAGTGATAGTAACTGGCATTGGTTTCTCTCAGAGCTGCGTAAGATTCTTGAAGTTAACTCTGAGAACATGCCAAAGCTTACCATATTGTCCACTAGGGAGAGATCCATTGTTGACGGAGTGGAGGCTAATTTCCCAACATCGTTTCATGGCTTTTGTATCCATTTTCTCACTGAACGGTTCCGAAGGGAATTCCAAAACTCTATTCTTGTGGACCTGATTTTTGAAGCTGCACATTCTCTCACCATCCTCGAGTTCAATTCAAAAATCAATAAGATCGAACAGATTTCCCCGGAAGCTTTCTTATGGATCAAAAACAACTCTCCTGCTCTATGGGCATCATCGTACTTTGAAGGATCAAGGTTTGGACAATTAACTGCAAATGTTGTTACCGAGTCACTCAGCAGCTGGATTGAAGATACCTCGGGTCTTCCTATAATCCAAGCGATGGAATGTATCCACCGCCATCTGATGAATTTGTTCACAGAACGCCGTGAAACAAGCTCCCATTGGTCTGGTATGCTCGTTCCGTCTGCTGAGAAGCAAGTGCTTGCAGCTATAGAGCAATCTCGTGGTTACCGAGTTTACAGAGCGAAAGAAGCGGAGTTTGAAGTCATGACTTTTGAAGGAAATGTCGTTGTGAATACCGAAAACCGTTCTTGCTTGTGCCGCCGATGGCAACTTTACGGTTTGCCGTGTAGCCACGCGGCTGGAGCTCTCTTGTCTTGCAAAGAAGACGTTTACAAGTACACAGAGAGTTGTTTCACGGTAGAGAATTACAGAAGAACTTATGCAGACACTGTGCAGCCAATTTCAGACAAGAGCCAGTGGAAAGAAAAAGATTCAGTGAGAGATGATGGTGAAGATGGAATAAGAACACCAAAGGTTATAAGAGTTGCTCA